GGAGGTGCAGCAGCAGGATCATGAGTTCAAGCCCACCTTCTGCTACATAGTGAATCTGAGGTCATTCCAGGAAAAAGAAACAAAAATTAGTGTCAAGTTTCCCTTTAAACATTTTATTTATAACCTAAATTTTCTTGCTATCTCAAAGATCTTTTCTTTTTTTCTTTTTTTCAAGATAGTGTTTCTCTGTATAGCCTTGGCTGTCCTAGAACTTGCTCTGTAAAAATAAGTAAATCTTCTTTTAAAAATAAGTAAAACCTGGAGGTAAAAAGAATCCAATATCTCCTCTCTCCTCTCCCCCACCTCTATTACATAAATGTATTTAGGGTAACCAAAGACTTGATTGAGGGAATGTTTCTTTGTATTTGGGCTAGAAGTGGCATGATGGCACAAGCCTGTAATCCTAATACTTGGAAGATAGAAGATTCAGATCCTCAATCTGTTAAGACATCTACCACAAAAACATAAAGCTAACATAACACTGAATGGTGAGACTGAATATTTCCTTCTGTCAGGAGCATGACAGTGAATGTCTATCCTCGATATTTATCCAACACTTGACATTTTAACAAGTGCAATAGGAAAAAAAATCACACAAAAGACAGTAGAGTTGTGTGGTAAAACCATATGTACAGCCGGGCAGTGATGGTGCATGTCTTTTATCCCACACTCAGGAGACAGGCAGGCAGATCTTTGTGAGTTTTGAGACCAGCCTGGTCTACAGATCAGGTTCCAGGACAGCCAGGGTTACACAGAGAAACCCTGTGGGGGGCGGGCAGGGAAAAGGACATGCATGTACAGATAACATGATCTTATATGACAACCCCTAACTTACATTCAATATAATTAGCTGTATTTTTGAGTTTTGATGTTCCCGGGCTGGTGTTATGTAATGTGACCCTCCACGTTAGTGGTGTGGGGCAGTGACCACAAGGCAAAGTTCCCAGTCACACTATTTTATTCAAGTTTTTAAAACTTTATTATTAGGAGCTAGAGAAATGGCTAGGCAGGAAAAAGCACTTGTTGTTTTTGCAAAAGACTCAGATTTGGTTCTCAGCACCCACATGGTGTCTAGCAATCATTCATAATTCCAGTTCCAGGGGACCTGGTACCCTCTTTTGGTCTCCAAGGGCAACAGGCACAGTCATGGTGCACATACATATACGCAGGAAACATTCATGAACTAAAATCTAAAAATGTATCTGTGTGTGTGTGTGTGTGTGTGTGTGTGTGTGTGTGTGTGTGTGTGTGTAGAAACACACATGACATGGTGTGTATGTGGAGGTTCAAGGACAACTTTGTGGAGGCAGTTTTCTCCATGAGCCATTATGTGGTTTCTGGGAACAGAACTCAAGTCATCGGGGTTGTGGAGCCCATGCTTCACCTCTTTAGTATCTCATTGACCCTCAGTTGTAGATGTAACCAACCGTCTTATTAAATAAGAAACAGAACCAATGTAAAAGAGAAAGCCAAGAGGTCAGAGCTCAGAGCTAAAATCTTACCCTTCCTCCTGCGGTGGTCCTAGCTCTCCGAAAGAGACCTACTTCCTGTGTGTTTGTCTTTATATAGTCTTTCTGTTCTGCCTTCTCATTGGTTGTAAACCCAAACACGTGACTGCCTCGTCACTGCCTGTATGTACAGCCCCCCAGGTCTTAAAGGCG